TCCTCCGAAACATTGGTTGACTTTCAACGGACTATGCGGTGTTATACGAGTATCCCACACGATAGAACTCTTCATAACCACCGCTGCCAGAACCTAAAATCCTATAACATTAATTAGGTTTTGTTGTTGTGATTCTTGAAATAAGCTTTTGTCCTTCCACGATGAGCCTTTTATACCCAACGCCGCGGCGCAGTGGTAAGTATCCCTACTTTATATTTTGAAGGTATCGGGTTCGAATCTCGATCGACTGACGATTTTCGTGTTTATCTTTACTAACTGGGAACGGAACAGAAATCTCTTTATCATGCCGTAAATATTTTGGATGTTGGTAGCGAGGTGAAGCCTGAACCAGTAACGTCAACCCCCTAAATATACAATCATCGCCCACGTGTTCATACATGAGGACGGACCACATAACTGTGGACACATTACGAACTAAGAGGGTGGTTCAAACTTGACATGGCTTTATTTCTTTTCCTGAATACGTGGGCACCGAAAAAAAATTTTCTATGTACAGTTGGTGGCAACATTACACTCACTGCCTTGCAGTTGGCAATGCGCCCCGCTTCTATGTATTACAATAGCGTCAGACCTCGTCATTCTCAGCACAGAACAGCGCTGTATCATCAAATTCCTAGTGTAAGAGAAAGTAAAACGAGGATAAATTCTTCGTAGGTTAAAAACAAAGCACCAGGAAGAGACCCCGTCACGTACAAATATTTGATTGGTACAATAAGTTTTCTGAAGGCCGTAAAGAAGTCTCCAACATAACACACGTTTGGAAAACAAGACAAGGGAATCAGATTGAGTGATTCGTGTCGATTTCCTTTCACATGCTGCATGAATTAATTCACATTGTTAGAGTAACTTGCTTCGCAACGATGTGCACCAAGCGATTAGGAAAAGAAGACCTGGGTAACTGGCAAAGGAAATTATGCTACTGCAGGACAACGCTAGTCCATGTACCTCAGATTTCAAGTAAGCGACACTAGCAAAAATGGCCTGGGAACGCATCACTCTTCTTACAGCGCTGATTAACACCAGCAATTTTCATGTCTGAACCAATGAGGGCGCATAAGGGAGGACCGAAATGTCAAATTGATAATGAATCGAAACGCGGTGTCCTGAACTGGCTAAGCAGTCAGGATAAAACCTTTTATGCTCCTGGCATCAGTAACTTGCACCTGGACGGTGGAAACAAAAAGAATGGGTGAAAAGGTAGAAGATTTTGAAAAGGTGTGCGACTTTGTCAAGTATACTCTTTTAGTAAACAAATGAAGTCAAGAAAGCAGTTTTCTGGGATGTGGCACCGTGTAGATGTGGTGTTAACCGAAACACAGTCACAGTCAACGCCTTGAAAACCTCAAATCTTACAAAATGAAGTCAAGGTCAACCTTTAACCTCCTACGTGAATCCTATCAGATTAGCCGGAACTAATAAATTTATGATACATCTGATTTTTGCTTTTCCGTGTGTATTCTTCGGATTTTTAAAGAAATTGCAGCTCAAAATTATCTCCAAAAACCTTCAAAAGTTTAACATCAAACGGCTTCACTTCAACACCACGCTATGACACTATACTGCAACATCCCACTGCGTCGTAATTTAACTGGTATCGCTCCGACTGTCCTCTGTAAGCAATACTCCAGTGACACTGCTCACTTGTGTGATTTGTATTAATCATTCACACGATCATCACTACATACTGGATACTGCGAAGTTTTGTTTTTACGTTGTAAGACCCACAGTTGCCTATGTTGCCACTGAATGGTGGCCCAGAGTTAAACTCAAAACAAGCCAGGCAGAACTCAACTTCTGTTTGACGATGCCTGACGATTAGTATATTGCGGACAATATGAACTTGTTTTTCTAGTTCCTCTTTTATTTCATCCGTGGCTACTGAGTCATGTAGATTTCGTATTACTACTATATAGGCCCATTCTTCTATGATCTGGTATGTATGATGTCCCGTTTTTTCTTGCTGGAGCTGTCTGATTAATTTCCAATAGGATTCTGATGTGGTCACATTGATTTTTATCGTTTCATTTGAGAGTGCTTTGCAGTAATACTGTTCTTCTATCGTTGCAGGTAGGTGTTTTACCATTTCACAGTAGTTTGTTACGTGTGTTGGTTGAGGGGCTATGCTACAAGCCGGAAGGTCATGGGTTCGGGTCCCGATGAGGTCATTGGACTTTTTCAGTTGACCTAATCCTTCCAGACGCACTAGACCCTGGGGTTTACTCAGCCTCTAACAGAAATGAGTACCAGGAATTAATTAAAATAATTTTCCTGGGGAGTAAAGCGCGGCCGGCGCGTAAGGCTTACAACCTTACCGCCATCTTCGAGCCGATTGTCTAGAATCTAGATAGTGTGGGACCCTCAACGTCTCACAACCCTATGGGCCTTCACGGCCTGGTACACGGATTGGTTGTTTATTTTTAGTGTTTGTTGCCGTTTCATTTGTCCCATTTGTTTGCATATCCTCGTCTGAGAGCCGTGAGAGCTCTTCATATCTGTTTTGAGTATTAAAGAGAAAAGAATTTCCTTCCATTGTTGTTTCTGGGGTTTGGTTAGATCTTTTCCTTTTCTTTACCTATTGCCAAGTGTAGTTTGTTCTTATTTCTGGCTCATCTTGGGTGTTATTTTTGTTATTGCTTGTTGATGGGGTTTGTTCCAAAGGCATCATATCATTTTGTAGCTGCTCTGTTGAAACTGGTATGGTGGTACTGGGACTGTGAACTGCTGTTCCATTACCCCTTGCTGAGGGTCTATATTACAACCCAGTCCCGGAGCTGTCCACATGCCGGCCACCTCACAGAGAGGTAGTTTATCAGTTGTTTTTTTTTTCTGCAGTTTCAGTAAAAACAAAATTAATTATTACATTCTAACACAACACTAAGTCTTCCCAGTCCTCTTTCACTATTGGTTGCTAGGTTATCGCTCTCAACAATTGTTACAACTGTATAACGTTTTCTCTAGGCGTATCATGGTAACGAATCACCAGCTTATGTATTCATGTATCCTGGGGTGCCCCTGGCCCTCGGGCGGGAGTTACTCCAATTATTGGCCGCGCCATATCTCAAGCGGTTAGTCGCTGGCTTCCCACCGCGGCGGCCCGGGTTCGATCGCGGGGTCTGGTCAAGTGAGATTTGTGGTGAACAAAGTGGCGCCGGGGCAGGTTTTCTCCGAGTATTTCGGTTTCCCCTGCCAATCTTCATTGCACCAATTGCTCCACAATCAGCCTCACCTATCATCTTGGGCTAGTACAATAGGCCGCAGTACAAAGGACTTAGTCCCGCCCCACTAGCAACACACAAAAAAATAATACTCCAGTTATTACGGATTAAATATCCTAGCAACATTCAAATTGTCCGCTCTCACGTCAAGTGTTTTCTATCGACCTTCGGCGAGTTTTCAAAATGGCTGCTGCATAGTAAACGTATATGTTTGTTGGAGGTGTTATTTCTGTTAAACAAAGTGTTTCACGCTATGGCTATGTCAAATCTTTACTCTAAAATTGCACCTAAACCCGTGAAAAGGCTTCAAGATATATCAGTTTCCCAAACGAATGCTTGGGTGAATGGTAAGCTATTTTTAAAATGTAGTTTTATTTCGTCCAGCTGCAACAGCTTTCTAAATTGCATTGAGGTGCATTAGACAGTGCTTCCTTGAGAGATGACACAGATTGGCAGATTTAATTTCTTTGCGTAACACTATGTAAACACGGTTTCTTAATATTATTAATTTACTCTAAAATATTTCGCAACAAACACTTGTTTACGTTTCGTAACACTTTGCCCTATCCCTGTCACCGGGATGAGCAGTCAGCTTAATGAAGAAAGGACGTATATGCTGCTATTCCCTCATGCACTGTGTATGACCTGTATGTAAACAGTATATATTGTAATGTATGTAAACTACATGAGTAAGAACAGCGGGAACCGACTTCTGTACAGAAGGGACCATATATGGTTCAGTCATGTTTTACTTTAATAATCTTGCATGGCATGTATGTTGCATCAATGTACAGTCAATTTATCATTTTTTATACTGCAGTATATTTAGACCAAAATGTTGAATCTCTGTGTGAGTAAAGTCCAGATTCATTACTGCCATCATGTATCTGATTCTTTAAAAACATCAAGACTGGGTGGCCAAGTAGTTAATTCTCTCCTCTCTATCCCCCCCCCAAAAGTTCAAAGGTCACAGTACATGCACTAATGTGAATACTGAAGGAAGTATTAATAGTGTCACTTATGCTATAAGCCAATGTTGTGTATTGGATGAGTCCAAGGACCTGACGAAAGGACAAGACATTTCATGTATTATGAGCATGACCATATCAGAATATGCATCTTTAAGCTAAATTTTGCAATCTTATTCTAAAAACTTAATAGTGCAGGATTGGCTGTCATTCATATTCAGTTGTTTAATAATGACAGAAATGGTATTTTTGCTACAACACATTTTGTTACTTTGTCATTTAATTCCATTGAATAAAGCCTGTATGTGTGTAATATTATTTAATACCAATTCCAAAATTCCAGTTCTTTCCAAATTTTAGAAAATATTCCTCAAATAATTTCCCTTTTCATTCTTCTGTATATATGCAAGAAAAATCCTGAGACCAAACATGTTCTCAAGCTCAATAAACAAAAGAAAATTTTCTTTATTTTGGAATTCTTTTAATATACTCTGCAATTAGAATCTTCCCAGTTCTCCCACCTTTAACAAAAGGAACACAAGCATTCATGAAACTGTAATGGTTTCATGTTGGAAATCTACATAACATATCAGTAGTGCTGTATAATTAAATAAAAATAATAATGGCAAGCATAGTAAAAGTTTGAAGGAAGCCGTCTTCTGAGATGTGGCGCCGTATAGATATCTACACATTGTCACATCCCAGAAGACGGCTTTCTTCATAGTTACAGCCGTGAAAACCTCAAATCTTTCATAATAAGTTTCACATATTTATTGTCCTTGCTCCTCTGTTGCAGCAGAAACTCCCAACAATGGTGGTCTATCACTGTCTCCACCTCACAGCATCTCACAACGGGAGACCATGCAGATCACACAGCCTGCTAGTGCCCCCACATCCCCTCTCGCATCTCCTAACTTAACAAGTACATCCTTCAATCTGTCGTGTCCTGGCCAGTCTACTGTAGACCCTAACTGGCAAGCCTCTAAACCGACTGTTAGAGAAAGGAATGCTGCGATGTTCAATAATGAACTTATGGCTGACATTCGCTTCATTGTAGGAAGCCCAGGTACACATCACATTAAACTACATGATATTTTTAGGAATGATTCTTTCTCCAGTTTTTCAGTGACCACCATGCCCTGAAGATGTGAGACAGAATTTTGCATTTCATAATATTCCAACAGTCAATTAATATGAAAACTTAAGATATTCCCCATTTTGTAATGACAGGAATGAGATTCCTATGATTATATGCATCTTCATTCATCTCTTGTGCATGACCCAATAAATTCTGTCAAGTGAAACATGTTCCTATATTGTAAACTGGAGAAGTGTATTTCCCTCACATAGACAATGCCTGAATGAAGCAAATTGCTGTATCACATATTAAACAGGTCATTCAACTGAATCTATGATCTCATAAGCCTACTTCCTTTCCTTAAAAAATGAAATGACTAAAAATTAGTTTTGTAAATATATACAGTAAGGGGCTCGTGTTAGTATAGCTGGTTGAGGCACTATGCTACAAGCTGGAAGGTTGTGGGTTCGAGTCCCGATGATGTGTATTTGTTCAACTGACCTAATCCTTCCAGCTGCACTATGGTCCTCGGGTCAACTCAGCCTCTAACAGAAATGAGTACCAGGAATCTTCCTGGGGGGTAAAGGGTGGCCAGTGCGTAAGGCTGACAACCTTACTGCCATCTATGAGCCAATTGTGTAGACAGAATGTTGAAGCCTTGACGTCTCACAACCCTACGGGCCTCCAGGGCCTGTTACAGGGATGGCTTTACCTTACTAGTAATTAAAGCGGCCTCCGTAGTCTAGGGGTAATGTTCCCACCTCATGACTCAAGGTATGCAGGTTCAAACCCGGCTGAGGTCATGGAATTTTTAAGGGCGGAAAAATTCAGGGAACAAGTCCTCCGGGAGGGACTTTAAGCCGTGGGTCCCGTGTCGTAGCTTTACGGCACGTAAAAGAACCTCATGTCCCAAGGGGACCACTGAGCCAAATTGATCGGACATTTCCCGCCCAACAGTAGTCTCTAACGCCTCTGATAGATGGGGGAAGCATCGAGAGATACCGCTGAGCCAGTAGAGGCCGAACTCGCTGGCTGAGTCGGGACTGATGGCACGCACCAGTATCGGTAGGGTATAGAGACTGGTAGAATATCACAGAGGGGACGTACAATAGACCACTGGTCGCGGTGCATGGGGAAACCCTTCCCTCCAATAATAATAATAATAATAATAATAATAATAATACTAGTAATTAACAGTGGCAAGTTCATTGATTCTGTTTTCCAGTTTGTGTAGTCCATATAGTACCCTACGTACATTCATACATTTTAATTAATAACCATCTCAGTGCTTGGTTTCATTACAGATGTAAAACATTCTATTACAGGTCATACTCAGTCTATACCAGCACATAAGTATGTGTTGGCTACAGGGAGCTCTGTATTTTATGCAATGTTCTATGGTGGTTTGGCAGAAAACAAGGAAGAAATTGAGGTCCCTGATGTTGAACCATCAGCTTTTCTGACTCTTCTGAAGTAAGTAATGCCATAATCTTATAAGAAGCATGCAGAATAAAGTTGCCTGTCTTCATGTTTTATGTGCAAACTTACTGAACATCGGATTTGCACAGTAAGTTACCAGATAACTATTTCTGGCTTGCGTTGGCCTAACACTTTATGTAAAGCTCATATCAAAGTTCCACCAATCTCCTCATAAAGGCTCGTTTTACAAAGAAAATGGCGCATAACAAAGGACAGGTATTATTAGACTGGACAACAGTTACCTGAATTTTTTTTCTCCTCTATTTAATGAACAAGTACGAAGAACAATTTCTGAGTCTGTGCAATGTGATATCTGTAGTTTGGATGGATTTGCAATAATAGGCTTGTATCTGCTATAAATGAATATCAGGGCCAATTAGGTGTGCATAAATGTGGAAAATATGAGTACTCAATTGATATACACTGACTGCTCCCATTTTGCTTGTTTTTGTTTATATATTTATGGTTTAACATAGTTGTCAGTAACTCAGACTATGTATCCAAATGGTAGGGGGATTTGTGACTACTGAATCAGAAAGGATGGGAAGAGAAACTGTTGTGGCCAAATTTAAGGTACTTCCCAACATATGCCGAGAGGAACTGATAAAAAGTGGGAAAACCTTATCAAGGATAGCTGGTATTCAGACCAGAATTTGAATCTGGAACTCCTGAAAGTGAATCAGATGTGCTATTCACTTGACTTTGATAGTCAGTCCTCTCTTCTGTTGATTTGAAAAGCACATAAGACAAGTTTCTGGTTTTAGAACAAGAAGCCTATTAATTAACATAATTCTGAGCCACTTAATAATAAGCTAATAATAACTAATAATAACTANTCAAATTCATATCGTCAGAACATATTTTCTTAAGATCCAGTTTAAATATTCTCCCAATTCCTTAGCCTTCCAAGAACTTTCTGCTCCAGAATTCTATATATGCTTCTTGTTTTCATCATCTGAGCTGTCTGAAATTGCCAACACAATAAACGTGCATGGTTATAGTGGGAAGCCCAGATAAAATGTATTGCTTCTTAAGTGAATGGATTAGAGCCACTTAACTGTCAGTCAGTTATGCATCCTTATGGCTTTCTTGATAAAGTGGAACAAACAATGGGAGTCCCTAAGATACTGACACAAGTGACTGGCAGGCCTAGTAGAGAAAGAACTACAGCTGAAGTTCTCATCTATTTGTTATGCTATAAACAATTTATATGAAACTCTTTACATGTCATATGTTATGGAATGTTCTTAGACTGTTTCAAGTCACAATGCTTAATGGAATATAAATATAGAAGTTTAATTTACTTTTTTTTCCCCCCCCCCAGATATCTTTACTGTGATGAGATTCAGCTGGAAGCTGATACTGTGCTAGCTACACTGTATGTAGCAAAGAAATACATTGTTCCCCATTTGGCAAGGGCATGTGTCAACTACCTGGAAACAAGTCTTACTGCGAAAAATGCCTGCCTCTTGCTGAGTCAGTCAAGATTATTTGAGGAACCAGAGTTAATGCAGAGATGCTGGGAAGTCATTGATGCCCAGGTACGTCTCTCACAGTCGCTGAGTGCTTTACAACTTGACTCAGACTCAGAATCATATCATTTGTTGCACCCTCAGTGTAGTGAAGCTGAGAGGATCATATCATAACATACTTCTATCAGAATGTCTATATCACAAGTACAAAGGTCCAGTATTTTTAATTTCTTTCTCCTTTAACCCTTTCCCGTCATACATCAATATATAATCGACATTGAGTATGTTCTTCCATAGACAAATGTCGATATATGATCGCAAAGTTTCTTTCGCGTTTCTCTGATGATAAGTCAGTCATACATACATCACTACTTGCCCCTGTATACTATGCCACTGCATTCTCCTGCCATCTGGAAGTCATAATTTGAACTACTTGAGGAATGAATGCCATTCATATATTCCTGCATATCAGTGTTAGCAACATGGCTTCGCGTTCTCATACACGTGTGTTGAGAACGAAGAGTCAGTTATTGCCTTGTTAAATGAAGAACTCAATATAGCCCCTGATGATCAGATGGGTTTGGAAAATGTAGGAGAAACTGTGAGTGAAGAATCCAGTGATGAAATGTTGGAAAGTGGAAGTGAAACAAGTGTTATCCATGTTGATGGGTGGGAAGAAGTGACAATGGGGGACAAGAAACCCAAGGCATACACATTTACTAAAAATGCAGGGCCACAATTTAACCTACCAGATGCAGAGCCCATGGATTATTTTAGCTTATTTTTCAGTGACAGACTTTTGAATAACACTGTTATAGAGACAGACAGGAATGCGAGACACAAAATTTAGAACTTATATTGTAAGATGCGCGAAAATCAACCAGCCATATGTCCTGGGGAATGTTTCGAAAGATATCACACACTCAAAAACTTCAAAAAGTTTTAGTGTAGGTCCTATAGTTTATCGGGTTTTTGTTGTTTGTGTACATAGAAGTGTGATAGTTATAAGAAGAAAGAAATATGCATATATTTTATACTAGAGAACAGCAGACAATTTTAGCCAATTAAACACTACTACCTCTCTCAGCACTTGATTGTCATACACCACTACAAGGCAGAGAATTTGTCTTATTGCATTGTGCTGGTAAGTACACATTTTGCTTTTTTCACTCTATGCCCTTGTTGTACCAAAATTTTGAGAAAACAGCTTGCTTAGTGGCTCTGTGGGCATTTAAAATCCAATGATGACCTGGCTGCAGAAATATTTCCAAACGCGATGACCGGAAAGGGTTAATAGTAGTAAACTTTTTATTTTATGAATTTTGACATTGTAAAATAGTTTTCAACTCAGCGAAACAAAATATATTGTACTGAACCATGCAAAGCTTATCTAGTCATCCAAAATTTAAGGCTGTAAAGGAATAGCTGATAGTTATATAATATGAAATTGGTAACCATAGACAAAAGTAATCAAACCGAAAGCAAACAAATGTATTTTGTAACTCTGTTTTGACAGTTTTGCATACCTAAGCTATTCCTGCGCAGTTTAATCCAGACAAATAGGTGGCAATTTTTATGTGTGTCATTCCTTTATTGATATCATGGTTTAATAATACCGGTGGTTAAATGAGGAAGGTGGTGTTTGTAAGCCTGAATGTGAGTAGTAGAACTTCATTAACCTAATGTGTGGCAATGTCAGATAAGATGTAACAGGAAATGTAGTCTGCACTTGACAATAACATGTGTTGTCTGTGAAGTTTTTTATTGAGCCTAGTATTTGTTTTCACTTATTCACAGATGGCCAGGAGGTAGCCTTTCTATATCGTTTAGCTAGCTTGTGATAGTTGTTTACTGTTGCTGTATAGCTTCTCTGTATTTTCTATTCTTCTAATATCCTAGAAAATGGTGATCATAAGAGTCATAGTGCTGGTATGAGACCACTCCACATGCACAGCATAGGCAATTTGAAAGCCCACACAAGGGGTTAATGCAGAACTAATACATATTAAAATTAGCAGTGTTTTAATTTTGTGGATGGCCTAATTCAGCAAATGAATTCTGACTTGTTAGGAATGTTCCCTCATCCTTGGTGCCATTATGTACATGCCTTTGATGTTACTGATTAACCTTTATGATATTATGTTATCCTACTGGAAACATATCAGAATAAAACCAATTTAGTATTGCATGAGAAACTGAAATAATAGCATGCTCTATTACAGTAATATCAAATATTAGACATCAGATTTATGATAAAACCTAATGGCATTTACTATGTAAAGGGATTACTGTTTTTTATTTGTATCCCTCTCCCCCGCTGTAAAGACAGTCTTTCCTTCACAGATACTGATACTAAACAATTTCTTACAGTTTTCTTGAATGGCATATGTTGATATGTAAAGAGATATTAGAAGAGAATATAGATAATTTGGGGGTAGGGGTTGTATTTGCTATACTGATATTGCATTAACAAGGTTTTACCACTGGAAAAATGAAGAGGCAAATAAATCTTGAAAAGTATACAATACCAAAATATTCAGGTTTTGTCCTAATAATACAAACATGAAACGCCTATTACAGTTGATGAACTACATAGTATATGTGGGATTGTTCATACTTTTAAAACTACTAGTGAATTATAGCAGGAAAAAACATATCGTTAGATTGTTAGGTGTTTTAAGTTCAGTGTGTCAGTTCACATTGTATAATCTGTATTTCATACCAGATGCATCTTGCATAGCTTAGGTCAGTCAGTAGTGGCCAAAATTTTAGGAAGCATGCAAAAATAATCTTCCTGTATTATTAGCCAAGAATTCCCACTATTTCTTAGTACCTTAGATGAATTATACACAGTGCACTAATTACAACCCTTGGGTTCTTATTATCCTTCATCATTTATAGGTTAAGACCCAGGGGTTCTCAAACTTTCTGTGATAACGTGACCCCCAAAAATACATAAACTTAACCCCCTTCCCTTCTGAAGCATGCAGTTCTACACATTGTTGCAAGTCTCTTGTCAGGCAGTACTGTAAGAGCAGAAAACTGAATAACTCTACAACCTCTCTACATATAAAGTATGGTATACAATGCTCCTGTAGTATGAAAAAATTCATAGAATATTTTGCTGGCTGCAGCTACATTAAATCATAGGACTTTCCAAAATTGTATTCCGATACAACTACATTTCAAATGATACTTGAGAACCTGTCGAACGCCCTTAGCGTAGGTTACAACCCTACAGGGAGTTGAGAAACCTTGTCATAACCTATTAAAATCGTTGCTGTATTATGGTGACTTAAAAGGTAAAAAAAAAATTTGTCCCTGTGCATAAGCACCATGCCATGGAGATGATGATCTCTGTGAAACACTTCATATTACACACTTAGTTACTTCTACAGCGACATGCCAACACTAGTAAGAAACCTGCCAAAAATACGGAGGAGAAACTACCAAACAATATATATTAAATAAGATTTTTACAATATAAATTGATTCATTTCTATGATGACTTGAAGGGCACACCATAGCTCAAGCGGTTAGTCGCTGGCTTCCTATGGTTAGTCACTGGGTTCGATCCCAGGCCTGGTCAAGTGGGATTTGTGGTGTACAAGTGGCGCTGGGGCAGGTTTTCTCCGAGTACTTCGGTTTCCCCTGCCAGTCTCCATCGCACCAAATTCTCCATCATCATAATCACCCGGGGCAGGTGCAATAGGCCAATCAGTGGCTACTGTGCCGAGTGAACCCAGCTGAACTCCACCCCCAACTAAGCGAATTAAGAAAAATTTAATGATGACTGAAATAGACAATGGGCATTAGAAAAAGAAACTATCTGGAAGGCAAGGCAGAGACCCAACTTCAAAATATACAGCATAAAACTACAAATAATAGTGTATTCGGTATTATAAACAGGCTGGTCAACTAATTTTATACTTTAATGACTCTTAACAGATTGTGACTCAGACAGTGTACCCAACATGCAAGAATGATTAGCACATTGTAAATGATCCCCTTGATGACATATTTATTAAAGATTACTGTCCACTGGGATGTGATCCTATGCAGTGTGATGGATAGTTGCCAACATTTCACAGCAACTTGCTGGATTTGTCTGTTTACTCTTCTGTCCTGAAGATGGTGGTAGCAGGTTCCCCTGGAACATTGGTAACTGTCTACCACACTACACGGCATCATCTCATATGACAGTAATTTTCAAAGTCACTGCTACGAGAATCTCAAATCTCACAACTTTAAGCTGAAACAAGTAGTTCACAATAATATTTAACCAAAGAACCTGGCACATAACGCTGATAACCTTACTGCCATCTGTGAGCTGATTGCCTAGAAAATGTAGGTGTCTCGATATCTCATAACCCTTTGGGCCTCCATGACCTGTTACAGGGATAACTTTACCTTTAAGAGTTTTAATGCATTGATTATCCTGTGACTAAGTATGCCAGAGTTTGGCCATTACTGAACTGAGATGAATGTGTCTATCAATATGTGTGTGTGTGTGTGCGTGTGTGCTGGTACACGTTTTCTGTGCATGCAAAACTAACATTTTAATTTGTGTGTTGCTTTCTTTTTAGTATAAAACAATAGCCTGTACTTTCACACTGCATTATGTCCATCTTTGATGGGATGCTTTAAATGTAATCATATTTACACTGCCATGTTTATAATGAAATCTTATCCTATTTTTACATAATGTGAATTAAATATCATTGCATTTGGAACCAGAATAATTCCCTTTAAGGCTGTAAACAGTTTCTGATTAAACTAAATATGGGTTGCATCTTCATTTCTTATTTATCACTATCTGTGTACCGATCCTAATAAAATACCAGTCCCTCTTTCTTAAGTCTTGGGAAATGGTGTGTGAATTTCCTGTTGCCTATACGAGCTCCAAATGGTATAAACCAAGCTTGATAATGAATAGAAAACTAAATTTCAGTATTCTAATATGAATATAACGTACAACAGTAAATCTGGATTTATCGTCAGGACATATTAATAAGAATAAAATTATCACTTACATCATGGACTTCAGCTAAGATTTTACAAGATAAGAG